CTTTTCATGAGTATTGTCTTTTATGAGGTTACAATTTAATTTAACGTAATGTTTATCTGCTTTCTTTTGTTAGATGCATGGCATGTTGCTGCGACATTTCTTTAATTAAATCATTCCTTTTGCTGTAGAGTCCTGATTCCAAAGCATCGTGGTAAATGATGCGTTATCGTACAGCCGTTCTTCTCATGGCTTGTCTCCAGAAAGCCATTTAAGCCGGCTTTTTTGGAACTATAGCTACATGTATTTTCTTGAGTGTCCCTATGCAACAAAGTGGTGTAACCTACTGTGTTATATATCTGTGAAACTGTTCATTAATTAATATCTGTCATTTAAATAGTTTTCACATGAACGTATTGTGCACGTCGATCCATACAGAAAACACCTAATACTTTGCCATCTACTGTGCTTTTTTTTCGCTAACTTGTTTTGTATCGCACTTGCATATTTTTCATAAAGTGGTATGATTTTGAAGTGATCAGCATCGCGTAACTTTCCTACAGAAGGTTGACAAAAAATGAAAGAGTGCTATAGCGCTCCCTGTTGCAGCCAGGGTATCGAAACAGCTCATTCTTTGCACGCTAACCCTCTCTGTGATGTGACTTGAATCGAAAATCATTTTTGATGACAGTCCTGAGACAGTCCAACCTAGTATTGAGAATAATGAATTATCGTTATGTGAACGGAAACGCAACCTCAGTTGTGATAGACTGTTGGGAAAGATGTTCAGGAGAAAAAGATTGTAAACATTGAAATACGGGTTTTCCTTACACGTTCATTGCCATCGATCAGGAGTACCGTATTACACAGGCAGGGTCAAAAGCAGCTATGGGAAAAGCATAGCGTGTAGTCTCCTGTTTCCTTTCCACGGAGTGGCACTCATTAATTACCTCAGCTGTCACAAAGGCGAGTGATCCTGATCGTTGCTTCAACCTGGCCTCTCGGTTCCGAGCCCGATGCTATCAACTGAACAACGCCGCTCTAACGGCGAGTGCATGACTAGCAGCATCACCAAGGTTAACTTGATGATACGTAAAGGAATAGAAGTAACTAATACAGAAATGTGTGAATGATTAGTAAGTTTATTTTTTTCCCTCAAAAATCTTGACACAATTATTGTAGTTTATTTGCCTTTTGATAATTGTCTCGTTTTTGTCCATAAATCTATGCGAGATTTGGTTTGCATGGCACTTGTCTTACTTTTCGTTCTGTTTTGAGAGCAGCTCGACTGTTTGCTGACCTGTGTATCTTTCTTGTGGATTCAGAAGGGCATTTAACATTGTTCCTCTTTCGAAAGTGCATCCTGTTGTTATCTCATTTGCCGTATTTACGACTTAAAACTTTTGTCTGGAATTCAGTGCATCCCTCGACCAAAACTTATTTCAAACTTTCTAGTCTTTCCGCTGCCACACGAAGACCGCGCATGATTTTGCGTACGTTGCTGACACGAGCACGTTTCTGGCGACGGTGGGTCACAGCAGCTCTGATACGAACGTCGCTTTATGGGACCTGCTTCTACCGCCGCTCAACTCCCTCGTTCAAGGTATGCATTGGGCTGTATGCTTCCTGTTTCGAATCAGTAATGGGTAATTAACGTTTTTTTGCCGTTGAGGAATATTCGGAAGTTTAATAAATGAAGAGATTTATTATTTGATTGATGGATGCAAATACTTAATTCATCATCGGCATGAATTCCGATCGCAGTTGTGGTTTTAAGGCAAAAGCATCTTACTTTTAAACGGATGTGTTTTCAAAACTTAATCAAATTCCTTTCGTTCCAAACGATTTCGCTTTATTTGGCCATCATCGGCCCGTTCATGACAGGCTTTCAGCGTCACATCACTGTGCTTTGCCGTTTTTGTTGTTGTTATTGTTGTTACGGTTGTCAGTGGTTTAGCCGGCTCTAATGACATTCAGAATCACTGCTTTTCGAGCCGTTCGATCATTAGAAAGTTCAGCTAGTTTTTCTTCCGTCACTTTTTCCTGTACGCCTCCGGATGAGGAATCTGGATGTTAGCTTTAACGGCATCTCGCCAAGTCCTAACTTGTTTTTCCTCTTTTCTGGCACCATCCGAGGATGAGGGTGGCGTTCAGTGTAATGGAAATGACGTCGTCTGGAGGAAGTACCAGTACATAACCTAGCGAACGTAGTCGCTGTTTTTTTACGACAGCGGAGAGCTGGACGATTGCAAAGAGTGCAAATTACGGCATTCATGGATCAATTGTATCCGAGATTTGATTCGCAAACACCAGTAGTCGAAGGATTCTAGTTTTCTGATGTCTTCGACTCTTTCAGCCTAACTCTCTCATCCGTAATGAGGGATCGAGCAGATAACAGCTTCTATGACTCAGCACTTCGTCTTGTGACAGGTTTTTCATCGTTGGAACAGCGTCCCTCAGAGAGGGCGAAAAGTCCCCTTGTTGCTGCTATCCGAACCATCGTTTCATCTTACGACTGAGCAGTGGGATGGATGAAAGATTCAAGGTGGTTGAAAGCAACTTACAAGGACGGATTTTCTCTTGTTCTGGGATGCTTTTGGAAAATATTTCCCTTTCGCTGCGTTGTTGTCTAGTCCAGTGGTTGCATTCATGTCATGGGCCTTATGACATACTGGGCATGGTAACAGTTCTTTGTTATAATGATGATGTTGTCGACATAGTCAAGTTCAGTGATGTAGCGACCAGGACCAGCTTCAACGAAATCGAAATCTTTCGCCTCCTT